CTCTCTGAAACCATGAGCCAAAATAAATCTTTATTCCTTACAAGTTGATTTATCTTGAGTATTTATTATAATAATGAAAAACTGATAAATAGTTACTGAGAAAGTAATTTATGTGAATCCTTTACCATGAATTAGAATAAAAGGCACCCCTTCCCCTGGCTCCTTACAGAAAGATTATCTGGGGATTGTGCTTGAAGTCTACACTCTACTTTCAGGGTTGGATTAACAAACTTCCTGTTTCAGGGTAGAGAAAAAGGAAGAGGGAGAAGGAAAAGGGAAGGAAGGGAGAGAGAAAGCTTGCCTTCTATTGAGGGAACTCTAGATTTAGGCCTAGGGAAAGGAAACTTGATCATCTTAGTGGCAAAAGGAAGAGACTTTGGCCTTTGGATGACAGAAGGAAGAGCTGTCCAACACGGAGTGCTGGATCCCTAAAACTGAGAAAAGAGAATCCATGTAGCTCTACCTGTGCTTGGCTTACAGTGCTCACAGAGGCTGTCTGTGGAGGTTGGACACTAAAGCCTGGAGGTCACAGATTAAGCCTGGGGACACCGAGGGTGCATGAATAGTAATGGCACCTGAGGACAGCACTGTGTCACATGAGGAGCAGGGGTAACAAAATGATCAGGATGCATTGATGACAACATTGTCTTCACCCCAAACTCCCTGACCTGCTTCAGCAGTGGGATATTGCCACTTCCTGGAGAGGAAGCAACAAAAAACTATTGCATTTGGACTTGTTCTGAGAATGGTAAGCAGGAGCTCAGAGCTAAATTTGATTTAGGAAATAAGTGACGTTCTTTCTTCAATTTCATAGAGCATTTTGAGAACCTATTAGAAATCCATGATCTGACATTCTTCTGTATAGGTGGGAAGACTAACAGCAAACTCAGAGCTCAGGCTGAAGGCCATCAGGCCTGTGAAGAGGCCTGTTCCCTACAGGGCACTGAAACCCTTAGAGTTAATGAGATATGCTTGAATACACTGGCAGTCAATGAGATGTAAAGCCCTCACTAACAGATAAAAGGAGGTAAATTTGAGGAACCAGGCATCCAGGACACTGCCCTGTCTGGGGGAGAAAACTCAACTGAGTATGTAACAAAATCAGGACATCTGGTTCCATTCCCATCCAGTGAAGGCTTCAGGTATCCCTACACACAACTAGCTGTCTGGGGTCCCTTGAACCATAACTAGACCTTTCTCATCAAAGTGATGAGAAAGGTCAGGGTGGTTGTCCTTTTAAGCCACTTCAAAGAGCAAGGTGTGTCACTATTGGGCCAAAAGTCCTCAAAGAAACAAACAAGATAATGATAATATTGATTATGTCCATGTAGTGTTTATTACATGCCAGGCAGTGTAGTGAACACTTCATATAGCAATGTTGTTGGGTAGGAACTGTATTATTATTATCCCATGTCCCAGGTGAGGACAGGGAGACTTGGGGAGTTTGATAACTTGAATTTCAAACCACTTTTAAAAGGTGGTGGGGTTCAGGACACACTAACCACAAATCTGGCACCCTGAATTTTCTAAGCTGAAGGATCTGAGAAACAGAACATTCAAGAAGGGCTCTCTGACCTTCCCCACCCTTGTTCCCTAGAGCAGGTCATAATACCTAGTCAGGTGTTTTTGACCTTCTCATGATGTAGGCCACAAGACCAACTGTGAGAGCTGCAGCCCTCACCTGGAAGGGGCTTCCTTAGCTCTGAAGATGAAGGAGGACACAGAGAACAAGAAGAACAAACAGGCACTGCTAAGTTTCCCCGAGTTGACTTACACTTTTGGTTCTACCATTTCTCTACAACTCTCCATTCATCATACTTATTATAATCAAAACAAAAAAAAAACAAAATAAAACAAAACAAAGCATTATTTAACTCTTTCTTTGGGTCTTCCTTTCCTAATGAAGGAATGTCATGTAAAATTGAAACAAATATGTACGTTTTCCTGTTGTTAACCTGTCTTTGGTAATATGAACCACAGCCAAGCAAGGTCACATGAGTAGAAGGAAAAGATTCATTTTCCCCCACTTAGAAGGCTAAGGTGGCTTCTGAGCCAAGGTATACCAGTCTCAAATCAAGGCCCTTAACTCCCTGCTCTCCTGGCCTTGCCAGCCTTTGATCCAGGTGTGGGCGTCTCTAGCCCTTAGGAGGTTTGTGTTTCCGAGATTTATATAGCTGTACTGACCACAGGGCTGGGCTCAGGCAGCTGGAAGAGGCAGCTGGGAAAGGCAGGGAGGAGAGTGGGGAATAGCTGCCCCAAATTTGGCACAGAATGGCTTCTTCTAGGCACCACAGAAGAGGGCAGCAGTAATGGAGGAGCCAAACTATCAGAGAATGTCACTTGGAGCTCGGAGCGTGTGAGGTCCCCTTTCTTTGCCACACTAGACAAGAGAGTTTGGCTTAGAATAAAGAACATGAAGAGGAGCGCCTAGCTTGAACTCTGGTTAAGTTAAGCAGTTGAGCAGGGCAAGGCCACTGCCAGATCTGGGGCAAACTGCTTAACCCAAGCCTTGGTTTCCTCTGTGAAGTGGGGGTGAGTATCTGACATAGGATTACTGGGGGGATTAAATGAAGCGATGTGAAGCATTTAGCACAGCACCTGACACACATTAAGTATTCAAGCAATGGGGTTTGAACTAACATAATAGCAATCATAAAATAAAAACAATAAGGAAACTCAGCTAGTAGTGGTTTTCTGATGTCTCAGTAAATAAATCCTTGCAAAAGAAAACTTGGCCTGGTTTTTGTGTTTGGAGTCAGGTTCCTCTTAGAGTATCTACTGCAGAGTCAGCAGGAATCTGAGGCCACCCTTTTATAAGGGGTCATGTATAATGGGAACTCTGCTCACCTAAACGAGCACTGCTTCATCTTTGTCTGCTATTCTATGCACACACAAACTGTATATTCATTTAAAGATATACACGCGCAGCTTTCTCAGGTCATTGCTTTCTTGGGATACTGGGGTCTCCTGCTGCAGGTGTGTAAATGTCCTGGTGATAGTTTTGATCTCACACACATCCTTGGCCCACGTAGGTTACAGCAACCCTTCCAGTCGCAGGCATTTCATCACACTCGCACCTCCCTACGTTAGCAGAAATGCTTTTCTGGCTTATGTATCCTAGTTTACTTTTAAAGAAATTTCCAACAGCCCCAGTGGCTTTTGCATCTCATTATATTCTTGATAATTAGCTCTCTTGCATTACCCCCCAGCCCAGGTGGAACAGGATTAGTTGTTTTCAGATACAGACCTATGGTGTGTATCTTACTACACCTCTTCAAAATTCCAGGCAGGCCTTCTGCTTCAGCCAAATTAGGACAACCACTTCCAGCTGCGTACAGTTCATTACCACTTGCATTTTAGAAAAAAAAACTCCATTGGATTTCACATCTGGTCATATGTTTATTAATTAAGTACCTCTTATAACAACTGTGTCTAATTAGGACAGAGTTGAGACCTTTGCAGAATCTAGTGATTCTTTATGTTTTCTTGTTCTTGGTACCTCATTACCTTCCCTGCAAATTAGGTCCAATTTGTTTTACATCCCTGCCATATTAAGACAATTGCTCTCAGGTGTGTGTATTTCCACATACACTGCTTTTCAAGCAAAATTTTGTTGATCAGGACTTTCCTGATTTCATATCCTGTAGAAGGACAGCCTGTTTTCTGGATTTCTGATCACATTTGCTCTGAAGTGAATCCAACTCCAGCCTCCTGAGTCCTGGGGTTGGATATAGCTCTCCTTTGTTCCTTGTTGGGAAATTTCTGTGCCTTCATCCTGGGTAGGCAATCACAGAGCAAGAATCCTGAATGTAATGGCCTTAGTCCATTCATACAGTGAGGTGGGAATCAATTTGTTCCATCAAGAAATGGCTAAGGGTGAAATGCCAGGCTCTGCTAGCTAGCAGAGGCACAGTGAATAGTGATAGTCTGGAACTTCCAGAACTGGGTAACGCTCAGAGGAGAGCAGCAGGGAGTCAGGCTGAAGATTTCAGTCCTCAATCCTATGTAATGTCTTTCTAAATGAAATGTTAGTCTTAGAGAATTCAGGGGGGAGTATGGACTCCTATAAGAGCAAGATCACAGTGGAAGTTTTATGAAGCCAGTGAAAGTATAAGCTCCATGTCACAGGAACTGTCTCTTTTTCTTTCCATTGCATGAATCCCACATCACCCAAGCTATAACAGGCAATTATATCTTTCTGACTGACTGGATTAATGCATTAGTGGTAAGAAATCATGGATATGACTTGACAGTAAGAATCATCAGGGTTTGGTTGCCAATTTGACTTGTCTGTGTTGAAGCTTTTCTTCCCAAGTTGTTTGAAGCATAGAATAATGATTGTTGGGCTCAGAAAACATTCAGGTAAGAAAGAATATAGTCTTGGAGAGGGGCTGGGACTTCTGTGAGTGAGGTCAGTCAATGGAGGACTCTGATTTCAGGAGGAAGGTCCTAGCAAAGATTCAATGAGACTCAAGCATATAGGCAATAGATGCGTAGGCCCCAGTTTGCTACTAAATTGGAGCTGATATGGACTACACAGAAATAAGCTTGTTTTTCAGAGCCTGGTAGCAAGAATTGTCCTTTTTGGGCAAGAGCAACATGAAGAACATATCCTTGCTTAATCATCAGGGGTGTTATTGACTGTGGGGGGAGAAAGTTCTAGTTGGCAATAAGATTAAAAAAACCCCATTGTGAGGACAGAATAAAAACACTGCACTGGGATGAAAGCCCTGGAAGAAACTATTAATAAGACAGGCTACTTAAATGAGTGCTCCTGGAGTGGAGGGAACAATAGTACCTGAAGAGCAATTTTGCTTATAATTTAAAAGATGTTCTGACAGGTCATAATAAAATAGCTAAAAGTAACATAAAACTGCAGGAGAAACTACTACTTGCAATTCTGAGAACACAATTTGCCAATACATATTGAGAACTGGATCCCATCTGTTAAATTTGTTCTTTTTCAAGGAATTTATTCTAAGGGTGGCTAAGTTGGGAAAGACTCTGCTATTGTAGGTTCTGGTCCCTTGGGCATGGTAGAAAGGAAAGAAGATCTGTTGCACAAGGTTGTTGTGAGGACAAAATGGGATAACCTGTCAAGTACCACAAAGTAGATGACAGAGAAGGGACATAGCTCTCCCTGGACATGGCTATTGCTTGTGCAGCTGTTTTCGAGAACCAGAATGAATGCATAGCCACAAGGCCCTACTTCATGGTCATGTTTATTGTCCATCTCAGGACCCATTCTAGTCCTGTGAGTCCTCTATGACTACTGCTGCAGACAGTATTCCACATGCCATCATTGCTTGGTATTTACAGGGGACATGAATACCAAAGTCAATGGATGCTTAAGTCTCATAGAAAATGGCATACTACTTACCGACAATTTATATTTTAAATCATCTCTGGATTACTTGTAATCCCTTATTCAGTGTAAACATTATGTAAATACATTGTTATACTGTTTTGTTTAGGGGATGAAAGGCAGAAAATCTGTTATGTGTTCAGTATAGGTGCTTTTTTTTGGAGATAGGATGATCTTGTAGCTCAAGCTGGCCTTGAACTCAACATCCTCCTGTCTTAGCCTCTTGAGTGCTAGGATTATAGCACTGACCACCATGTCTGGCCCCAAATGCATTTTTAAAAAATATATTTTGATCCATGTTTGCTTGAATCTGTGGATGTGGAAGCCATGGATATGGAGGCCCGTTTGTTCCTTTGTGTAACAATGAAGAAATGGTGTGCTTTGTTTTCAGTGACCTCCTGGTGAGGCTTACTTTGTTGGCCTTTTTAGCTGTAAGAGCACATTTTAGGGAGTGCTCTTCATGGTAGAACACTAACTGTTGTGGCTACATATCCATGTGTGAGGATGGTGGATCTTACCCTTAGCAGACCCTCATTCTCTTTAGCACTTCTGGTTATGGCTGTGAAAGGCACAAAACCAGACTCATGAAATATCCCTAAAGTAGACCCATACCATGTAGAAATCTTAACTGGATCTCTAATGATAGATGGTTTTGAGGTGGCTGTGCCATCTACATCTGTATCCATTCCACAAGTCATAGAATGTGTCACTGACTATTCTAGACCTTTTGAAGAACAAAGACTGATGTATGAACCTTCAAAGAACTATCTCTTGAATGATGTGGACAAGATCCTTACAGCCCCTCTTCTGTGCAGCACTGACATATTTTAATCCCCTCATTGTCATAAGCAAAACAGGGATGACACTCTCCTAATTGCTTCCCCAAAGTGACTCATTTGCCAAGAGACTGCTGGATCTCTGTATTTCTTGCCATTGTAGACCCACAACCCTTTCCCAAGCCAGGAAAACTATCTTGTGCACTCCCTTGCCCCACCTCTGCCTTTCCTGGCTCACTGTCACCACTCAGGACTCTCCTCCTGGAGTGGACAGGAAGGAAAAGAGAAGGCATCAGATCTAAGCTGGGAGGCTGTGGCCACCACGAGGAGGCTTCCAAACAAAAGTGTTCCACTCTAATGCTCCCACTCTTGCTTCTTGGGTATACTACTTCTAAGGACCTTGTTTAGGGCACTATTTTTTTCCATGGTTGTCTCCTATACACATTCAACTTCTTCCCAGTCAGGCCTCTGAACCACACAGATCTGCAGCGTTCCTTCCTCCCAGAAGCCCCTGGAGGGCCACTATGCTGCTTCCTGCTGGATCCTGCACAGCTGCCCCATCATCTGGACTGATTTCTAGCTCAGGTCTCAGTGTGAATTTGTTGGGGATGGGGTTCTAATCTAGTTCCTACACCCTTACATAGTAACAGTGTCCTCTGTATACGTAGCTGCCCCAAGTGTAGTAGCATTTGGCACATGTCAGGCCCCCTGGAAATGTTTGCTGAATAAATAAATGTGAGAAAATAGCATACAATATTTAAGTTTCTCAAAACTTCTTAATTTTCTGTTTTGCTCATCAAGACCAAAGCTGTTACAAACAGGTGTAAAAATTCCGATCATCAAGGCATGCATGGCCTGTGACCGTGAACGGTCCCACTCCTTCTGGCTCTACTTTCCATGTGTGTTCAAGGTATGTCTCAGTCAGTGAACTGCTGCCTCCTGCGACTGTGCATCATGGATAGCAAGAGGACTTGGAGTCTGGGGATAGTGGTGAAGTCTAGTGTACTAGGAACACGTGGGAAGGCAATTAAAAAACAGGCCTAGCTGGTGGCTGCACAGAGGAGAAATATCCTGGCTGTCCCATCTTCCCTGCCTTCAGATGAGCAGACCTGGGCTACTTTCTGAAGTGACAAAGACTTAGGTGCTCATGGAAGGATAAGTGAGTACTTCAGAATCATTTACTCCCATGAAGTTTCAGGCGAGATAGAAATTCTCTAGCCATTATTTACTCATGGACCTTAAAGGGACAAATGAAGCAGAGGGTTGAATCACCTTTCGTGCTCCCATTTTTGTCACTAATTTTATGGCTCTTGGTTTTGATACAGCAGAAATAAAATAAAAAGTTAACCAATCGACCAAAACTTACGTATAAGCTAGTGCACATCAACTCTCCCCAGAGTTGGGATAAAGGACTTTCCCCCCTCAGACCTGAAGAGTTCCTGTTTTGGCAGGGAAATTTGTTCAAAGCTGCAGCCAGGTGAGAAGTCGTTTATTTGATTTTAGCAATAGACTTAGAAAGCAATGCACATACACGTGTTTCACTGGAGTGTAAACTGATAAGGTCAAGTGAGTGAAGATCCTACTGTTTATGTAATAGAACCCTACTACGTAGTTTAAGGAAGGGACTAAAACTTAGCTGTCTGCTTTTCATGCTAGAATTTTATATATGTTGGGCAATAAACAAAACATTAATTAGTCATTCATTTGTTTTCAGTCTCCCCATCCGACCCTAGCCCTCTGGGTAAAAACTGCTCTAAAGCAGTTGTTACACCGAAACATTCTGTACTGCAAACTTCCTTTAAAGTTCATATGAAAAGCCTAAACTACAGAACATAATCTTTACACCTTTTTTTCCACTAAGCATCAGCATAGACAAAAGTAAACCAGCTTGAAGTATACCAAATAACATAGCAAAGAAAGAAGTGCATCTGAGGAAACACCCCACACTGCAGTGGCCCCATTAGACGGTGGTTATTTTCTTGTCCTTGGTGGCTTGCTTGATGGCAGCCTGCTCACAGATGATCTCCTTCAGCCGCTGCAGCCTGGTGTTCTGGGTGGTCTGGTCCCCCACTCCGGTCTGACTGCGGTGCAGCAGGGTCAGGGCATGGATATACTCCAGTTCTGTGTACTTCACACCCTGGTCCACCACCAGGTTCAGGAGCTCATCAGCTGTGTTGTACAGCATCTCATAGTACTGCCTGGGGAAGGAAGAGAAAACCCTGCTCAGTGCCTCCTCCATCAGCAAGTGGCAGCTTAGTGGGAATGAATGTGCTGTTCATGAGTGAATTTGTTTGCTTTCCCATAAACAATTGTTTATCATCTGACAGGCAGGTTTTGTCCCATTCAGTCCTTTGTGCTTTCACTCACTCATTCTTTTATTATTGGAGACTCTGGGAAATATATAGTTTTCTCTTCCATAAAGGATAATAATAGGTGTCTTACCTCAGGGTAATCGGAAGACGTAAGTTAATACATATAAAGTGCTAGAATGGTGATGCTTCGTTAAGATGAGGAGGGTATGGGATAGCCCTCTGTCAGGCAGGGCTTCCAGCAGGGAAATTCTAGATGGAGGGAAGAGCTTGAGCACAGGTGGAGAAGACTGGTCGGTTAGACTGGGGAGTGCCCTGGGAAATCATAGGTGAAGACAGGAGGTAGCACCTGAACGTTAGGCTATGACTTTAGGCCTATGTAAGTCAATAAAGGACCTTCCTCCCCTACAGAGTCCACAATTCAGTCATGCTTCTGGAAGATAAACGTGTCAGCAGAACGTAGATCCTGGGAGGGATCAGTTATAATTCTAGTAAAAAAGAGAGACTTTGAGAGCTATTTGTCTGTGAGATCATTGGCTGGGTAGTTGAAAGGAATACCTACAACAGAAACATTCATTAGGATGGATCTTCAAAGCACAGAGAAGATGAAGGTGGGAATCAGGTGGGAGAGAAGGCCACTCCTTGCCAACCCTAAACCCAACATTGCCACTACTGGACTCCCAGGCTGTCATTTGCATATCTCTCAAACACCAGCTTTGAGCCAGCTTTGCCACCCAGTTTGTTAGCAGACAGAAGAACCTTCCCAGACATGCTTCACCTCCTTCTCTTTTTCTGACATGAAGGGAGCTTTGTCAGGATAGAGGGACAGAACTGGGCAGTAGGTTCAGAGCAGCTCTTTGGGGTGAAGGAATGAAAAAAAAATATCCTATGGGAAAATGAAGCCATCCTTTAGGTAAGGAATACATTCTTGGAGCTTTAAAATTCAAGAATATTTTATAATTTGCAGCTGCAAATTATATACTTCTGGAATGTGATCCAGAAGTATTTCGGAGTCTTTCTATAAGGTTGGTTTCTTTTCCTATTCTGCTAACCCTACTTTTCTAATTAACATACTGTTTAAAAAAGAGAAGAAATGATAGCCTTTGTGAATATTCTCTACATAATGGCAGGAATGAAAGTGATCATTTTAGATGGATAATTTTATGAATGTCTCCTGGGAGCAAATTGTTCAGCACTGCCATGCCGAGGGTCCTCTTGGGGCTCATTTTCTGTGGTAGTTTCAAGTGAGTGTTCATTTGAGCCTCACAGAACCAGATATTTAGGAACCACTGATCAAGAGTATCCTTGAATATGGACAGATGTACTTCTGAGAGGAGAGGGGAATGAACTATTTCCAGGGGTCTAGAAGCCTAATATCAGTTGTAGTCAGCTGCATGTTTCACATAAAACCCATGTAAGTTTTGCATCATACTCCTCAATATATCTAACATAACTTAAAAAATATTTTAAAGAAAACTTATGCTGTAGGAAGGTATACCATACTTGTCCTATGATTTCACATATAGCTTCCTCCCTGTCATGGATCCTTGTTTTGAGAAATGAGGCCCTCTATCATCTACTTCTGTTCCCCTTACATGCACAGGTGAGAGAGAAAGCTGTCTATTTAGGAAATTTCCTGAGAATATACATTGTTAAAATTGCTGAGGAACAACACATGTACAAATGTAGATTTACCAAAGGGAGTGAGCATTTGAGGCTCATGATTCTTTCAAAGCTAGAAGGGCCTTGAAAGCTGCAGTTTCTATACTACTGGTTCTCAAACATTGGAGTACCTCACTAAAAATTACCTGAGAAGCTTATGAAAAGTGCAGAGGGCTGAGGCCCCTACTCTAGACACTGTGATTGTCAAAGGTTCTGAGCCAGCTGGGACTCCGAGCCAGAGTCTGTTAGGGAGGGGAGTAGTTATAGAACCATTTAATTTTCTGCAGCCCAAGACCTAAAAGCACAGAAGGAAACAGAAGTAGTTAATGGCTTGCAGTGCCTTTCACTAAGATTAAACTAAACAAAATTGGGGTTCTTTGCAATATGATATTGGTATTTTCATCATTTATCTTAAGAAGTAACATTGAACTGATCAGCCCAGATAAAATTGGATTTCTTTTGAAAAGTCTGATGAATTGTCTTCAGGGATACTACTTGTTCTCTACAGAGACTGTTGTTCCATCTGGGAGTGAACAAGACAAAGATGCCTGGATTTCAAGTCCTGGATCTTCCAGTGTGATAAGTGACAAGGGGCATGCCACCTGAGTACTTAATGTTTCAATGTCCCCTGTGCAATGAAGACCTATATAAATCCCAAAATGACACTCTGAAGTGAACTGGGAGACTAAAAGAGTTCTCAAGAGCTTCAGATGAACAATGCGCCAGAATTGCAAAGCTGAGTTATTAAACAAAATTGACAGGTAACTGATGGTGTATTTTCTATAGTTAGGGAAAAAAATTCCTCCATAACCATGATGATATATTAGATCATAAAGGAACATAAATATTTAAAGACAGAATGAAATTCATTTATCTTTCAGAAAGATACCCAGTAGCAAAGACTAATAAATCGACATAGCAATATTTAGACGTAGAGGTGGGCAAAGGGTGCTACAAGATGCCCTGAAGAGAAAGTAGGAGAATGCCCCAAACGATGCAATTAGAACAAGCTGCCATGATAAACAATGACAGACTAAAATGACATCATGTAGCCCAACAGGGATAAATAATTGATCACTGCTTACTGAGGCCCCAGGATAATGAAAGTTTGGTCTTTATCATCAAGCATTAACAGAGCAGCATGGCTGCGAGGGCACCACGGTGTACACTAGATGGCGCAGTGCTGTCTGGTGGTATCAGGGAACACACTTTTGATTTAGACGTTTTCCAGTTTATGACTTGTGGAGTGAGCCTCTTCACAGTCCATATTATTCAATTGCTGGATGTGGACAGAAGAACCCATTCTGAAGATCACCTTGGAGGATGGAGCATTCTGAGGAAGTGGGTGCCTTCCTGAGGTGGTATACCTTTGGGAAGCAGTACCCAAAGTAGCAGAAGTAGAGAAGGCAAGGGGCTGGAGTGATAAACAGTGGTATGATGTCACACTACCTGGCCTTGTGGTCGCAGTCTGTAACATGACAACATTGACACTCTGTTTTGGTGCAAACAGATACTTTTCTATCTTCCTCATGTTTGCTTTATCAACAACTGTTCTTCCAGTGGTGCTGGGGATTGAACCTAAAGCTTCACACATGTGAAGCAAGTTCCCTATTACTGAGCTACACCCCTTACTTCATTTTAATGGCATTGCAGTGGCATTCCTCCCCCCTATTGATTTTTGTCTTCAAATTTTTACACCAGTTAAGGACATGAAGGGCATTTTTGGTAAGGTGGCAGATTTTTAAAAAGTTCTATAAAAATATATTTTTATATATTTTATATAAATATAAATATATATTTTTAAATCTTTCTTTGATTAAAAAATTCATACATGTATCATATAGACTAGAAGAACCATACAGGAAAAAAAAAGATTACTCATGAAACTCCATCACAGAGGCTACATTTTGACATACTCTTTTATAGTTCTTCTGTCCTACCCCATGAAGTGTTCTAGTCAATTTCTTTCCTGAGGATAGGTTTCTGAAAGCAGAATTAGTCAAGATAAGTGTATTATTTAGGGAATTTGACAACACTGGCAAATTTGCGTTTTGATTTTCAGTGTACGTAGTTGTGTATATATATGTAAACAAACTATTGATTCCTTTCTGTTCTGGGGTATTAGTGCTTTTTCAACCTTTCTTTTTTTTTTTTGGTCTTGAAACATATCATTTAATATAATATAATCATTTTTCCTTTGAGAAATATCCTCCAATTATTTTCAAACAATCTTTTAAAAATGTTTCCTTTTTATACTATCTTTTTATTATTATTATTCATTTATTCACATGTACATATATTGTTTGGGTCATTTCTCCCTATACTAATCTTTTTTTTTTTTTTCATTTTTCTTTTATTATTCATATGTGCATACAAGGCTTGGTTCATTTCTCCCCCCTGCCCCCACCCCCTCCCTTACCACCCACTCCGCCCCTTCCCTCTCCCCCCCAATACCCAGCAGAGACTATTTTGCCCTTATTTCTAATTTTGTTGTAGACAGAGTATAAGCAATAATAGGAAGGAACAAGGGTTTTTGCTGGTTGAGATAAGGATAGCTATACAGGGCATTGACTCACATTGATTTCCTGTGCGTGGGTGTTACCTTCTAGGTTAATTCTTTTTGATCTAACCTTTTCTCTAGTACCTGGTCCCCTTTTCCTATTGGCCTCAGTTGCTTTAAGGTATCTGCTTTAGTTTCTCTGCGTTAAGGGCAACAAATGCTAGCTAGTTTTTTAGGTGTCTTACCTATCCTCACCCCTCCCTTGTGTGCTCTCGCTTTTATCATGTGCTCATAGTCCAATCCCCTTGTTGTGTTTGCTCTTGATCTAATGTCCACATATGAGGGAGAACATACGATTTTTGGTCTTTTGGGCCAGGCTAACCTCACTCAGAATGATGTTCTCCAATTCCATCCATTTACCAGCGAATGATAACATTTCGTTCTTCTTCATGGCTGCATAAAATTCCATTGTGTATAGATACCACATTTTCTTAATCCATTCATCAGTGGTGGGGCATCTTGGCTGTTTCCATAACTTGGCTATTGTGAATAGTGCCGCAATAAACATGGATGTGCAGGTGCCTCTGGAGTAACAGTCTTTTGGGTATATCCCCAAGAGTGGTATTGCTGGATCAAATGGTAGATCGATGTCTTTCTTTAAGAACTTTCTTTAAGAACTTTCCATAAATTTTCATAGTCAAGAAGCTAGGAGAGTTTTAATCTCTCA